GGAGAGGGGGCGACCACCCGCCTGGGAAGCATCACCCTGAACCTGGAGTAAGTGAATGCCGCGGGTCCAGGGGCCTGGCCCCAGGTAGAGCGAGGCCTCCAAACTCTGCTCAGGGGATTGGGGGACGGGGCGGGGAACACCGCATTCTGCGCTGTGATTTTTCTGTTTTGCAACTGGGCAGTGCGAGGCCTTCTCCCAAGGTCACCTCAGGGCTGTGCGCTTGGAAGCGCAGGGCTGCCCCAACCCGTCCTGGAGCTGGAGAGGCCCAGGAGCCCCTTGTGGCAGGGATGTAGCAGCCCCTGGCTCAGGGGTGCTCAGGGAGGCCCTGGGAAGAGGGACAGTCAGCAGCTGCACTTCTGCCCAGAAGCAGGTGTGTCCTTTCCATCTTGAGGATGGAGACTTGGGGCTCAGAGCAATGATGTGAATTGATGGGAATTTTAAAGTTTTTTTTAGCTCTGTGTTGGTTTGGAGGATTTCTTGTGGCTGTGCTGCATCTTGTTTCATCTTCCATCCATTTAACAGCTGAGAAAACAGTGGTGCAGGGAGGTGACATCACCTTGCAAGGAAGTGTGGCAGGGCTGAGACTCAGCCCAAGGCAGCTCCAGTGCTGGGCACTGCCAGGAAACCCCAGCTCAGGGTCCTGCCCTGCTCCGCCCCTCTGACACCTCCGTCAGCCTGTCATCTCCCTGCTCCAACCTCCAGGGATGTTTCCCAGGATCCCAGTCACCTCCGCACCCGACCCCCAGCCCATCACACCACCTGCCTCCCACCTCTCAGCACCTTTCATCTAGCCAGTTCTTTGTCAGGCAGACAGGGGAGGGAACTTGGTAATGAGTCCCTGCTTCTGGCCTTTGCCTCTGCCACTCCACCTGCCAGGAATACCTTCCCCCCACCTCCCTCCAAATGCAATGTTGGATCCTGGAACAGAAATAAGGGCAGGAGCAGAGGAAGTCATGAAATTTAATTAATACTAAGTACCAAAGTCAATCTCTCAGTACAATTGTACCGTGACTGTCCAAGATGTTAACATTAGGGAAACGGGGTGGAGAGTCTACAGGAATGCTAACTGTCTCTGTAACTTTTCTGTAAATCTAAAATTACCTCGTAATTAAAATTTTATTTTCTAAATGTCAAGGAAAACCAAAGTTCCCCTACCCTCAGCTCATTGTCCTGTTCTCCCAGGCCTGTGGCCAGATCAAATGCAAGATGACCGTTTTGCCACCTAAGGCCTCCTGGACACAGGGCTGGCTCCCACAGGAGCAGCCCCCAGAGCGGCTCTGTCTGTTTGGAACAGTGGTCCCCAGGCTGCCCTGGTAGGCAAGGCCAGTTTTCTGCTGGCTTGACATGCCTACCTCTTGAGTTTCAGGTCAGAGGACAAGCCACACACTTCTGTCTCTGGTCTAGTGCCCAGCAGGGGCTTTTCAGCACTTTACAGACAGGCACACCCGGAGGCCGAGGCTCCAGCCCCAAGCCCCGTGGACCTTTGTGTTGGCCAGCTGTTTGGACGTTCAGGCACCTGTGAGTTGAGTCAGGTGCTCAGTGCTCAACGCTGCCATGTGTCCTGGGCCGGAATGCCCCTGGCCAGGCCTCTTCATATGTCATCCGGTCCTTACTGCCTGAGGCAGGGAAACTGAGGCTCACAGTGTGTGTCCCTGCAAAGGGAGTTAGCCAAGGGTTCGCTGCTCCGGCAGAGGAGGGCTTCAGGCCTTTTGCAGACAGGCCTCACCAGAGATTCTCAGACGCTGCTAAGGTGCAGCAGGAGCCCGGGAGGCTCCTGGAGGAGCACTGGGCTGGGAGTCAGGACCTGAGTTCTGGGCCTCAATTTTTGTAAAGACAGCAGATGGGCCAGTGATGTGAAGGGTGTGGGGCCCATCAGAGGCTCTGAGGCTGGTGGCTCTGGTGCACTGGTGCAGGTTTGGGGACAGGAGGCCACTGGATGGCCCAGTGAACTTTCTCCAAGCCTCACCGCAGGTTTCCCAGACCTCTGGCCTCCATATCCCCAGGCATCCAGTTTTCTGTAATGATTAAGTACTCACTCAGCACCTCTGTGTGTCAGACCTGAGATTCCAGGAGCAGCAGCCTCCTCACTCCGCATCCCAGGGTGCAGCCCCCGGCCTGCTTCCCTGGGTCTCGGCAGACAGCGACACCACTCCCGACACCACAAACCCTGAACGGTGGTCCGGAAGTAGGCACACTGGCAGGAGTGGTATCACAGACACCGATGTGGGCCCTGCCCCACAGCTCCCTCCCCCGGAGGGTGACTTTTCACCTCTGCATAGTTCTTACTCTCAGTGAGATGGGTTCCCAGATTGCAAAGGGAACCAAGGATTCAGCCCAGGAATCCAGACCTCCCACTGCTTCATGACAGTCCTGCCCTACATATGGCTAAAGCGGGAAACCAGGATGCCCGCCAGACCACAGCACGCCCTGCACGTCTCTGACCTGTGTCTGATTCCCCACAATCAATGCTACAAATCGTCCCACTCTGCTCCCCATGACACCCCCTGCCTAGAGACATACGTGAGCCGCTTCCCCTGTGCTGGCGGCTCTGCCTGACCCTCCACCCCTTCACTGACTGCCCCTCTCACTCTCTGCCCTCCAGCCCAAGACCAGCACCTTCCCAGAAAGTTTTTCCCATTGGCTGCCTCCTCCCTGCAGGCCTCCAGGTAATCCCCTGGCCTCAGATCAAGTCCCCACCTCCCACCTGAATATTGGTTACTCAGCTTGTCCCTGCCATCTGCCCCAGAAAGTAGGTTGTCCTAACACAGTGGTGAAGCTGGTATCCCCTGCACCTTTACGTGGGAAGGAAGCAGGAGTGGAGGGAGAAGAAGTGGAGAGAGGGGCTCCATCTGTGGAGGAGGGAAGGGCCTTCCTTCCCTGAGAGTCAGAGGAGCTGTCACCCCAGCCCTGACTCCAATACGCCAAGGGAGGACATGGCCCCAGAGCTGAGAGGGAAGGAGCCCGGAAGCCTGACCGCCCCCAGGGACCCTCCCCCCGCCCCGCAGTTGGTAGGCCTGCAGGGCTGCCGGGACAAGAGTGGGGTGGGTCCTAAACAGTGAAGGTTCACGGCTGTACCTCCCGCCCTGGCCCCGGGCGGTGGAGGGCGCGCCCGACCAGCAGAACTCTCCTGAGCTAGACTCGGTCAGGGGTGCCGCCACAGGTGTCCCCATCCCGGGACCGGAGGCCTGCATGGCGAGATACCGGCAGGAGGCCGCTGCTCTGGGCGCTGTGTCCTCCCCGCCACCGCTCCAAAGGCTGCAGCTGGGGTGGGCATTGTGGAGAGAAGCACGGTCAAGGCTGGGGTCGAGCCCGGGCTCCAAACCGGTCACCCTGGCCCTCCCCGCGCCCTCTTTCCGTGGCTCCGACTTCCCGGGGAAGCGGCGCTCAGGTACCCGCCCGGCGGGGGGCGGGCCTGCTGCACTCGGCCCCGCCCACTGCAGCCTGTTAGGCGCACACCGCCGCGGGGAGCGGGTCTGATCCTACCGGGCTGGGCGTGGGGGAAACCGGGCAGCATGTCCTAATTTGGTCCGGGGCCCGTTCCCGGGCCACTGGTCCCCGCACGCCCCTCCCCTGACCAGGTCCGCCTCCGCCTGCAGGAGCTCGATCCCGGCACCAGCTTTCCCTGAGCCTTTCGGGGTCAGCACCGGAGAGACGGGATCCAGCCGGAGGCCGAGGGAGTGCGGAAGAGGCTGCCACCGAAGCAGCGCAAACTGGGGCCGGAGGCTTGGGGCGCCCCGCCACCCGCGGCCACTCTGCACCCCTGCTGTTAGGTGGTGTCAGACCTGGTGCCAGAACCCCCTCCCCCCCACCGCACAATCCGCGTCTCCTCTGTCCCGGCGAGGTGCGGGCAGGGCACGGCAGCGGAGGCCCTGCGGCCGGGGGAGGCGGGAGCAATGCCCGGATTCAGCACGCGCCTCGCGGTCAGGCACGGGCTGGGTGCGGGGACGTCCCTTCCGGGCGGTGAGCTTGACGGCCTGAGCCAGGAGATGGCGCTGTGGCCATCCGCGGCAGCCCCTAGCGCCCAGCTCCGAGGCCGGCCGGTGTCATTCCCAGGTGGGCCGCCAGGTGGGTCCTGCTATGGAGGCCAGGTGCCCGGGGCCGGGCGAGGAGTACGGGCTGCACCTGTCTGCCCCGCCCCGACCCCAACCGAGCTGGCCCCGCCCTCCCCAGCGCCCAGAGGGACCCCGTGTAGCCGCTGACCTGGGCTGGGGAGGGTGCTGCCAGTGGCCGCTGAGTCACTGCTGCCCGAGGGTGACAAGGAGTGGCTGGGGAGTGGCCTGTGACCTCAGCCAGTGCTGACGCAGGGAGACAAGGTGGGATAGGGTCAGCCTGCACCCAGGGCAATGGAGGAGAGGAGGGCCAGGGCCTCCACTCAGCCAGGCTGGGCCAGCCCTCCCTATGTCCTTGTACCTTCTGTTCAGGGGCAGACAGCACCCCCAGAGGGACCCAAAGCCTGGGCAGAGCCTGGACCTGGGTGTGTCTGTTGAATGCACAGCTGGTTCCCTGGGCGGCTTTTGATGCCAGCTGCCCCACCTGTCTGCTCACTGGGCACCCTGGGTTATTTCAACAGCTAGGACGCCTGGGTAGATGACCAATTCAGAGACAAGGAGAGGGAGGCTCAGAGAGGCTGAGCTTGGTTCCAGGTCACACAGCAGGATTGGAGGGTGGGACTCTGAGCCCCCTCCCCCATGTATGCACACCCTGCTGGCTACAGGAGGCCAGGTTTAGGGGACAAACGGGTATAAGTTCATTCCATTTTTCCAGGGGCCCTCCTAGGGCTGTGAGCTGTGGGCCTAGGTTGTTGGGGGTTGAGCTAGTCCCAGGAAGGTGGAAGGGGGCACTGGCAGGGGGATAGCCTCAGGGGGCCCCAGAGTGCCACATCAGGCCAGCCTTGGGGTAGGTGGGTGAGGAGCAGAAGGCAGGCTCCAGAGGTCACCCTGAAGGGGGATGGGTCGGGGACAGGGCCAGGTTGGGGTCAGGTCATTCCTGGGAAAGGACAGATGCTGCCCATGGGCAGGTGGCCAGAGCCGCACCTCTGCCTCCCTGGGTAACAGGTGGGTTGTCCCGGACCCATGTGTCCACCAGGGACAGTGCGAGTGAACTATTGCAGGGAGCCTGCCCCCTAGAGCAGCCCCAGCCACAGGAGCCAGCCTGAAGGTTAGCAGTGCCGAGCTCACTCCCAGGCCCCGCCTGCCGTCCCCGCAGCATTCTCTTTCCCCACTTTAGCAGGAGCTTGAAAGGCTACCAGCTGGGAAGGGGCAGGCCTGGGGTCTGTAAGTGGCAGTTGGAGTCTGCATATCTGCACGTTTTACCCACCTGGGAACAACAGGTAGTTCGGTGAGTCAGGGGCATCAGGATGAAAATGCTCCCCCCCAGTCTGGAAGGCCTGACTGCCAGCTCTTCCTTCCACTGTGGCCCTTGGGAAATGGCTGTCACCTGAGTCTGGATCCAGCGCCCATGACTTCTCGTGTTTCTCTGCAAGCGTTTGGGGTTTCCCTGTATTCCAGTTGATCCGAGTTCCTGGGCATGCCTGCGGTGAAGACTGCTCATTCTTGGCTGCTTTCAGGCCCTCAATAGCCATCAGTTCTTGGGGATTTTCTTGTTTCCTTCACAATGTCTCTCTTTCCTGTTTTACTTTCTCTGTCCTTTTGTTTTGGGATGTCTCAGAACTGGCTGCTCACATCTCCCAGTTGAATCCTTTAGTATTCTTATTCTTTCTACTATCTCTGTCTTTTCCTTTAACTTCCTAGAATGTTTATTTGACTTCTTCTGACCCTGCTGTGGATTTAAAATTCTAGTTGTTCTAGTTTTTAAACTTTGCATTTTGAGATCATTTCAGACTTACTGAATGTTGATCATTTGTCACACCTGCCTTATTTCCTTTTTAACTTCCACTTTTCATTTCTAAACCATCTGGGGGTAGGTCTCCGACATTCTGCCCTTTACCCCTTCATATTTCTGTGTCTTTCTCCTAAGTACAGGGACATTGTCTCGTATAACCACAGTATAGCGACCCAAAGCAGGCAACTTCACATCAATCTGACACTGCTCATCTAACTTGCAGTCCGCATTTCAGTGACGATGGTTGTCCCAATAATGTCTTCTGTAGCATTTTTTCCTGGCCTAATCCAGGATCCCATATTGCATTCAGTTGTCATTACCTGTAATATATTTAATCCCCAGGGTCTCTCTCCTGTTCTCTGTACCATTCAAAGTGTCACCTGTAGGTGAGAAAGTTTTTATTAGAAGCAGGCCAGCACTATTGCCCCACAGAGAAACATGACCATGTGCAGGGCCTGTCTGACTGTAGGACAAGGTGACAGTCTGTTTCTGCTTTGTCCCAGAAGTCAGAGATGGACTCTTCCTTGTTGGACCACTAGCAAGATTTCTGGCATAGAGTAGGTACTTAATAACCGCTGTAATTATTTGATGTGAGAAGTCTGGTTCTTCTGCGATGGGCTGAGCCTCTGAAGGTAGATTTGGCCTTGTGCGTGGGTGTGTGTGTGTGTGTATGTGTGTGTGCAGGTCCAGGCAGGTGTGTGTTTTCTCGTGAAGGTGCACACAGACAGGGGCTGGGCCGTGGCTCCCATGGTTGCCTGCAGAGTTGTGGGCTCCTGACTGTGCCTGCCGGGTGTTGACATATCCTAGCCGTGCACTTTGTGTCTGCAAGCCTGGTGGGCAGTAAATGGCCATCTGTTTTGCTGGAGTTGACCTGGTCTTCACTCTGCCCCACGCAGCAGGGACTCGGTCTCAAGAATTCTTGTGAACGCTACTCTCTCTTTTTGGTGGGGGGTAGGTAATTAAGTATTTATTTGTTTGTTTACAGTGGAAGTACTGGGGGTTGAACCTAGGACCTCGTGCGTGCTAAGCATGCGCTCTGCCCTCCCCTCCTGTGACCGCTCCTCTCTTATCCCAAGAACGTGCAAAGGGCCCGAGGCTTGGGGGTCAGAAGTTGCCCAGCGGTCATGGGGCATCTGGGCGTGCTGAGGTGCCCTCAAGCCTGTCCTCGTGCCCCCTTCAGGGAACTTCAGGCTTGCTGAGGCCCAGAGGCCTGAGGTCTCTCCCTCCTCTCCTGCCAGATACAGCCTCCGTCACTGCCCCTGCCTTAAGGTTTTACAAGACAGAAGCCAGGAGACTGCACCAGATTCCCACTGTGACAGCCCTAAAGGGGGCTTCCCCAGCCCAGCCAGCAGCTTGGAGGGGGAGGGGGACCAGGTGGAGAGGATTTCAAGGAGATGCCCTGCCAGGATGGGTGTGCGTGTGTGCGTGTGTGCATGTGCGCGCGCGCGTGCATGGAGGTGGGATCGTGCTGGGGTTGAGGGGGGAGCACAGGGTGGGGGGCGGGAGGGGTCTTGGGAGCCTGAGATGCCGGAGCCCCCTCTCTTCTGCCCTGCTGAGGGGAGCTGTCACCCTAAACCACCTGCAGGCCTTCGGTAAACCAACCCCAGCCCGAGTAAAAGAAGCGTGGCCCCTGCCCGCCTGTGTAAGTGGAACTGCGGGGCGGCAGAGCGCTCCGCCATGAAAAAATCATGAGGACACCAAGCTGGGGGACTGTTTCAGGAACTAGGCAGGAGGCTGGGCCCTGGGCGCCTGCCAAGCTGGACCCTGGGAGCAGGTGATGGGCCCACGGGTGAGGAAATCAGGGCTCTGGGATGTGCCCAGCAGCACCGGGACCAGCAGGGTGGCCGTCACTTTGTGGCACGAGGAGCCCAGGGGCAGGGGCCCAGCAGGGGGCTGGCCAGAGGAGCCAGTCCTGGAAGGGGCAGAGCCCCCGGGGTGCGGTGGGGTGGACAGGAGTGCCAGCTGGAGCAGCAGCTGGTCAGGGCCCGGGGCTGAGGCGCAGGCTCTGGGGAGGGGGCAGGGATTTCCTCTGGGAGTAGTTCCCAGAGACTTGCTGCCCTGTGGGAAGGGTCTGTCTGGCCATTGCTCAGAGTAGGGGGTCCAGACCTGAGTCTGGGACAGATGTGGCCTATGGAGGTCCCTCAGCCAGTAGGGCCGCCCCAGCCTCCACCCTGGGCTATTTCCCAGTTTCCAGGGCTCCAGGCCAGCGGAGGTGGGGAGCGGCCCCTCCCCCAGCCCGCGCACACACACAGCGTGTGCAGGTCACAACCAGCGTCGGCGTTGCCGGGACACCGAGCCTGGAGCATGAGCCGGTCACCATGGCAGCCGGCAGCCTGCTGGCAGGAGTCCAGGCTGGGCTCTAGCATCTAGGGCCAGTGGTCTGGACATGCAGGGGTGGGGGTCCTTTCCCTGGTGGCCCCAGAGGGGCCTGACTGGGTGGAGTGGGAGGGGGACCCTCCATGGCCAGGCCTGCTCATCCTCCAGCACCCCGGGTAAGGAACAGTTTCCTGAGAGCTCGGGCTGATGCCAGGGGCCTGGGGGCTTTAAGGCCCTCTCTGCTCCTGGCCCCGGCTGGACACTAAGAGGGGCAGGAGGCCTTGTCTGCTGGCGGCTTCTGACAGCTGAGGCAAACCCTACCTTCTGGACCCCCCGGACACCAGAAGGGTCCATCTGCTGTGTCCATCTGCGGGCAGCCACTCCCTGAAGTGGGGGCTAGAGGCGCTGCTTGCCTCAGGAAAAGGCACACTTCTCCAAATGTGATTAAGCTGGCATGCTGGGTGGCCTGACATCTGTGCCCAAGCCTGGTCCAGGAAGTGGGCACACACTGGGGACATGTCCCCACCAGAGCAGGGGCAGGGGAAAGAGGCTCCCGGAGTGGCAGGGACTTAGGATGCTCCAGAGTGCCGGCTGCACGGGGCAGTGGTGGGCAGGTTTGTGCACCCCAAGTGGGTGGTGGTTGGGCAGGGGGCATGGCCAAAGGGTTGCCTGGGGTCCTACGAGAGGGGTACCCCCCGTTGCCTGAGGACGCTGCCACGGGGCTGGAGCTCCCAGCCCACCCCAGGCTCTCATAATTGTACACACCTGGGTGTGAGTGGTGTCCCTGAAACTGAATCCCTTGTGCTGTGCACAGCCTGATGGCCCTACTGGGTGGCCACGAGTGGGCTCTGAGGCTGGGACCCAGGGCAGCACCTCCAGGCTGGGGCTGGCCCAGCACGTGGCCGCGGCTCACTCTGCCCGGTCCCTGTCTGTGTGTGCTTCCCCTGACCTACACACACACACACACACACACACACGCCCGGACGCACATGCTCACACACACACACACACACACACACACAGGCCCGGACGCACATGCTCACTGCAGCGTCTATCTGCAGAGGCTCAGCCCATCACACAGGAACCCCCACATCAAACACCAGGACCCTGCGGGGGACCCAGAGGGAGTCCATGACCCTAGCAGGCAGCTGGGCAAGGACCTCAGATCCTGAAGCGGGGGGAACCTCCGTGCAAACCCCCTCCCTCCAAGGATGTCCCCCCATGTCTGTACAAACCACCTCCCTCCTGGGCTAGAAGGCCCACCCCTCAGAGTCCCCTGGGGGCCAGAAAGGCCACCTCATGGCTCATGCCCAGGGTCAGTGCCAGGCAGCCCCACCCCACCCTCACCTGGGGCTGCGGGACCCTGGAATTGAGAGGCCACAGGCACAGCTGGCTCTGCCGCTGAGGGGCTGCCTGAAGCCAGGTCGGCTTAGCGCCCGGCGCTGGGCTTCCTCCCGCTGGGCACGTGATGCCCACGAGTGCCTGGCCAGCACCAGCCAGTGCTGATTAACAAGAGCGTCACACTGATCTGGATGCGCTGGGCTCCTTCGCAGCCTGGTTGGGAGTTGGGGGTGCAGAGGAGTGACCAGTGCCCCTGCCTAGGGGTGGCCACGGGCACAGCTGCCCAAGAGCCCCCCAGCACAGATGAGCCCCAAACCAGGACACTTCTCTGGCATCAAGGCCTGGGCCCCCAGTCCCCTGGGAATTTGGGGGAAAGTTCTGTGGGCATCATGTCCAGAGAGGGGATGCAACCCCAGACTGCATCTCACTACCATGAGGTGCCCGGCACGCAGCCTAGCCAGGCACGCACTCAAGGCCCCATAAACACGTGCGAGTGACAGAGGTGGGCGACACTAGCCTGCAGGGAGAGCCAGGATCAGCACCTCGCTCAGCTGACCCATGGCGGGTGCCACGTTGCCATGGGGATTTGTATACAGGCCTGTCTCCCCAAACCCCAACGTGAACCCCCCAAGTGAGGGGGGTCTCCTGGTCTCCTCTCAGCACCCACATGTGCCTGGCAAGGTCACTGCCCAGGGCCTGGAGAGTGGGGGAGGTACTTCTGACCCCGTGCCCATTGCCTGGCTGTGGACCCACGCACTTGTCTGCCCACTTGCCCCCTGGGGCTCATGCATGCCCACCCCAAGGCCCTTTCATTCTGTTGGACCCTACGTGGCCTCCAGAGGGATGGAGGGATGATGCCCAGAGCATCAAGCGCCCATGAGGATGGGCAAGACTCTGGAGGCCATGGCTGGACGTGCCCCGTGGCTTCCAGTCCTGGTCCCCAGGGAGGCCCGAGGGTCACAGGCTGTGATGAGGAAGGGGACACCAGGGCTGGCCATGGCCCAGCACGGGCCGCTCTGGTTTCACTACTTGGCTCCTGGCCCCCGAGGCAGGTGCAAGAGACAGACAGGCAGGATGAGGCTGAGCAGGGCCACTGCAGCCCCTAGTGACAGCCCCCTCGGTCTCAGGGTAGAGTGGATGTAACCGGGCTAACCCAGCGGCTGGGCCTGGGAGGTGCCGGGGTCAGAGGTAGCCAGCTCTGGCTTCTCCTAGCCTGCTGGCCTCATCCCTCTGCTGAGAAGGTTTTGCTTTTTGTGGCCTTGAGATCTGACTCAGGAAGACCCCGTAGTCAAGCCACTCCCCCCGGAGACATGACGGCAGGGTGGGGTTCCCAAGCCGCCCATCAAGGCTGGCTTCACCTGAGCTCACCCACAGAGGGAGGGGCCACCTCACGGCCCCGAGAGCTGCTCGGAGTACAGGAGTCAGCTGAGAGCCCAGCCCTCTCACCCCGGGTCCAGCGACTGGGATGACGTCTGCTCCACGTCCATGCTCCCACGTCACCCTCCTGCTGTGCGACCTTTGCAGCGGGTGTCACGGTCCCCATCACAGAGGAGCCCTTCCCCTGGGCCCGGCACAGCCAGGCCGCTGGCCAGCATGAACGCAGCCAGGCAGCTGCCTCTCCATGCCTGGCTCGGATCTGGGTGCCGCAGATGCCAGGATGGGGGGTGCCTGGCCCGCACACTGGCACTGTCATCCCTGCCTGCCACTTTCCCAGCTGCGGGCCACCCTTGGGAGGCACCAGACCCAGGGCTGCAGGCTGTGCCCTGGGGCTGCTGAGGTGCCCCGTGGGGGGCCTTGCGGCGCTCCTGGCAGCAGGGATCAGAGAAGCAGTAACTAGATCTAGTGGCCGAGGGTGGAGGGCTGCGATCGGGTTGCGGCCACAGGCGAGTTTTCCACCAGGCGGCTTTCTCCACGTTGGGAAAGAGCTGGGCTGGGCCGGCCAGTCTGCGCAGTGGGTCTGGGGGACCCGAGGTGGGGAGCAAGGAAGAGAGACCAGAAGGGGCAGGGGGCAGAGGGCGGGGCACAGCTCCCGAGCCGGGGCCAGCCAGCCGTCAGCAAGGACAAGGAGGTGGTCCGCCCTGCAGCGGGTGGTATGCTCCAGCCTGTGAGCCCCAGGCTCTGGCCCCCAGGCCGACGGGAGCGGCTGAAATCCAAGCTGGGGTAACAAAAGGCCGCCGCTGTTCCTAAGCCGGCACAGCTCTGATCCTCCCTCC